CAGTGAGTGCCATTGCATGAATTCCCATCTCCTGAGGCTTCTTTGTCATAAAAATAGCCAATGACTCTTACAGAGAGAAGATAAGATCCAATTGGACTAGCAATGGCAATGGTGTTGAAAATAGTGCCCATATGTAGCACACCAAAAACTTCAGAAGTAATTGTGGGCATCAGTGACCACTGTGAACCATAACAAATACCAACCAGAATTGAACCCACATACAGATTCCCTGAAAAACCCAAGGCGATAACTATGTGGCCAGTAGTCATGGTTGCTAGTGTGACAATAATGAACAATGGCCTTGCCCAGCCTCTTCTGTGCAGAAAAATGTCAGATATGTATCCAGCTCCAAATCGGCCTAGATAATTCCATATACTCCACAAGGATACCAATGTGTTTATTTCAGTTGTACTGTAACCAAGAGATTCTCCTATTTGGCTGATGTTATTTATAGTGGCCAGGCCTGAGCCCATTCCACATACCATAGAAACAAACAACAACCAGAAGTTCACGGTACAAATGGCTTGGAAGAGATTCATTTCCTCTCCAACCTGCAACATTTTATCCTCTGAGGCATTCGTTTGCCTTGCCTCAGCAGGCACTTCATGGTAATCTAGACCATCCTCTGCTGCAGAAAGCTTCTTGGACCCAAGTGATTCAGAGTCATCAATTAAAGGGGATCTATCAATGGATGACGTTTGTGACAATCTCCACGTCTCCTCTCTTTGGGCTTTGATTGCAATTCTAAGAGGCGAAGAAAGCAGAAGCAGAAGAAGAACGAATGTAAGCAAGCACACCCATAATGGCAAAGTGAGGGTATTTTCTAATAGTATTAAGATCATGAGATAAGCTGCAACAACCATGGAAATCATAGAGAAACCATTCAAGTGTTTCTTGTCATCTCCAGGATTTCTCTGGTAAGTTCTTACAGAACACATGAACAAGAGGGAGAGAAGAGTTGGCAACAGTGCAAGCATCAATAAGAAAGTGCTTGGTTTGCCCTTGAATAATGCCTGATAGACTTGTATTAGAACTGCTCCACTCAGGCCAAGAAAGCCCTGGCAAAGGAAAAAGTAAAAGCTAAGTCCAATTCTAATCTAGCCATAGTAATGCTAAGAAAGCAGGAGCATAGTCGATAAATTAAACTATATATCATCAGTTGTTGCAGAGATATACCAGCATTTCCCCATAGAATTTTGCATCGAAGATTTAATAAAACAAAAAATATTTCTAGCTTGGGCTGTCACCAGAACATGTATGCAGGAGCAAGTTGAAAAACTGCATATAAGTGTTAAGAAATATAGGGTTATTTTGTTTATTAAGGGTAGAATAGTCCTTTACTTTCCCTGCCTTGTTTAGCTTATATATAGTCTCTTTGTATTTAGGTTAAATTACTTCCTAGTATTCAATTGAATTATGCATAATCAATAAAACCATAACCTCCTCTTTTCTTATCTCTTGTATTTCTTTAAATTGTTCAACATGGTATCAGAGCAAAATTTCATGGGACAAGGCTTAATCTCAAACACAGTTTATGCGAATTTTTGAGAAGGTATTTGTTCCGTTTTTACAATCTGGTTTTCTTTATTTGTTGATTATGGCTACTGCAAGAGACGATTCACTTCAGTCTGTCAGTGTGAGGTTGGATGGAAAAAATTATTCGTATTGGAGTTATGTGATGAGAAATTTTCTTAAGGGTAAAAAACTATGGGGATATGTTAGTGGAACTTCTGTGAAACCTAAGAATACGGATGCGGGTTATGCTGATTTGATAGATGTCTGAGAAGCAGACAATGCAAAAATTATTACTTGGATCAACAATTCTGTTGAGCATTCTATAGGTACGCAGTTAGCAAAGTATGAGACAACAAAGAAGGTTTGGGATCATCTGTAAAGGTTATTCACTCAATCAAATTTTGTAAAGCAGTATCAATTGGAGCATGACATACGAGCTCTTCAGCATAAGAATATGAGTATTCAGGAGTTTTATCCTTCTATGATAGATCTTTGGGATCAATTGGCTCTTACAGAATCGGCTGAATTAAAGGCATGTGGTGCCTATATTGCTCGTAGAGAGCAGCAACGATTGGTACAGTTTTTAATGGCACTTCGTAGTGATTTTGAAGGACTTAGAGGTTCAATTTTGCATCGTTCTCCACTTCCTTCTGTTGACTCAGTTGTCAGTGAGTTATTGGCTGAAGAGATACGTCTGAAGTCTTATTTTGACAAGGGAATTCTTTCTACTTCTGATCCTTCTGTGCTAGCAGTACCTTCTAAACCATTTTCTCATAATCAGAATAAGCCTTACACAAGGCCTACCTTCGACGAGTGCAATTTCTGTAAGCAGAAAGGTCATTGGAAGACTCAATGTCCTAAGTTAAGACAGCAGAATGAATCACAGCAGCAATCTCAAGCTTGGAAGTCTGGCAACCAGTCACAATCTAATGCTCCTAGACCACCTCAGGGTTACAAACCACCACAGTCTAATACTGCAGCAGTAGTTTCATCAGGTCCTTTCACCGATTCTAATACCTTGGCTGAGCAATTTCAGAAGTTTCTCTCCTTACAGCCACAAGCTATGTCTGATTCTTCTTCAGGAGGTCAGTTGCCTCATAGTTCTCCAGGTATGTCACATTCTGTATGGGTCTTGGATTCTGGTGCTTCACATCATATGTCTCTAGATTCTTCATCTTTTGCTTCTATATCTCCTTCATCTTTTATTCCTATTATGACTGCTGATGGCACTCGTATGCCTTTAGCAGGTGTTGGTTCTGTTGTCACACCTCACTTGTCTCTCCCTAATGTTTATCATATTCCAAAACTCACATTAAATCTTGTTTCTGTTGGTCAGTTATGTGATTCTAAAAATTTAGTCACCTTTTTCTCTTCTTCTTGTTATGTGCAGGATCTGCAGTCTAAGAAGCTGATTGAAGCAGGCCGTAAGAAGGGGGGACTATATATTTTGGATGAGTTAAAAGTGACAATTGCTGTTGCTGCTACTACTAGTGTTGATTTATCTTCTTTTCATTTGAGTCCTTTTTCTTCTAGTTTTTATTTATGGCATTCCTGTTTAGGTCATGTTTCGTCTTATCGTTTGAGATTTTTGGCATCCACAGGGGCTTTAGGAAATTTGCAAACTTGTGATATTTCTGATTGTAGTGGATGTAAACTGGCAAAATTTTCAGCTTTACCTTTTAATCAAAGTATTTATGTTTCTTCTTCTCCATTTGATTTGATTCATTCTGATGTATGGAGACCTTCTCCTATTGCCACAAAAGGAGGGTCTCAATATTATGTTTCTTTTATTGATGATTATACTCGTTATTGTTGGATTTATTTAATGAAACATCGTTCTGAATTCTTTGAGATATATACAGCCTTTCGAGCTCTTGTCAAAACTCAACATTCTATTGTTATCAAATGTTTTAGGTGTGATTTGGGTGGGGAATACACTTCTAATAAATTTGATGAGTTACTTGCCTTAGATGAAACTATTCACCAAACTTCGTGTACAGATACTCTTGAGCAAAATGGTGTTGCTGAAAGAAAACATAGGCACATTGTTGAAACTGCTCGTTCTCTCTTGTTGTCTTCTTCTGTTCCTAGTGAGTTTTGGGGTGAAGCTGTTCTTACTGTTACAGGTTTGATTAATACAATTCCATCTTCTCATATTTAAGGTGTTTCTCCTTTCGAAAAGTTGTATGGGTATGCCCCTGATTATTTTTCATTTAGAGTTTTTGGTTGTACTTGTTTCGTTCTTCGTCCTCATGTTGAACGCAACAAGTTGTCCTCTCGATCTGCTATTTGTGTCTTTCTTGGTTATGGTGAAGGTAAAAAGGGGTATCGTTGTTTTGATCCAATAACTTAAAAACTTTATGTGTCTCGTCATGTTGTTTTTCTTGAGCATATACCTTTCTTTTCTATTTCATCCACTACTTATAGCTTGACTAGATCTGATTTTATTCGTATAGATCCTTTTTCTGAGGATTTTGATAGTTTGTCATCTCAGATTTCTAGTACTTCAAATACCAGCACTGATCATTCTACAGGTACTGACACTTTACTCTCTAGCACACCTGAAGCTACCTCTTCTCCTATGGTCCCTCAAGCTCCGTCTGAGATTGTGGATCCACCTTTACGTCAATCCACACGCATTCGTAAGTCCACAAAGTTACCAGATTTTACTTATTCTTGTTATTTTTCATCTTTTACTTCCTTTTTAGCTTCTATCCATTGTCTCTCTGAGCCCTCTTCCTATAAAGAGGCAATTCTTGACCCTCTTTGGCAGCAAGCTATGGATGAGGAACTTTCTGTTTTGCATAAGACAGGTACTTGGGATTTGATTCCTCTACCTCCTGGTAAGAGTGTTGTTGGTTGTCGTTGGGTTGGGTGTATAAGATTAAGACCAATTCTGATGGATCTGTTGAGCGATACAAAGCTAGGTTGGTTGCAAAAGGGTACTCTCAACAGTATGGTATGGATTATGAGGAGACATTTGCTCCTGTTGCAAAAATGACTACTATTCGTACTCTTATTGCGGTTGCTTCGGTTCGTCAGTGGCATATCTCTCAACTTGATGTTAAAAATGCCTTCTTGAATGGGGATCTTCAAGAAGAAGTTTATATGGCTCCCCCTCCTAGTGTTTCACATGATTCTAGGTATGTTTGCAAGCTCAAAAAAGCGTTATATGGTCTCAAACAAGCACCCCGTGCTTGGTTTGAGAAATTTTCTGTTGTGATCTCTTCCCTTAAGTTTACTTCTAGTAGTCATGATTCTACTTTTTTTGTTAAGTGCAGTGATGCAGGTCGTATCATTCTGTCTTTATATGTTAATGACATAATTATTACTAGTGATGATATTAATGGTATTTCAGTTTGAAGACAGAGTTAGCTAGACAGTTTAAAATAGTTCTCTACAATATTTCTTGGGTATTGAGGTAGCCTGCTCACCCAGAGATTATCTTCTTTCTCAGTCAAAATATGTTGCAGATATTCTTGAGCGAGCTAGACTAACTGATAATAAGACTGTAGATACTTCCATTGAGGTTAATGCAAAGTATTCTTCTTCTGATGGTTTACCTTTGTCAGATCCTACTTTATACTGTACTATTGTTGGGAGCTTGGTATATCTCACTATTACTTGTCCAGATATTGCATATGTTGTTCATGTTATTAGTCAGTTTGTTGTTTCTCCTACTACAGTTCATTGGGCAGCGGTTCTTCGTATTTTGAGGTATCTTCGGGGTGCAGTCTTTTAGAATCTTTTACTTTCATCCACCTCTTCCTTGGAGCTGTGTGCATACTCTGATGCTGATCATGGCAGTGATCCCACAGATCACAAATCTGTTACTGATTTCTGTATCTTTTTGGATGATTCTCTTATTTCTTGAAAGAGCAAAAAACAATCTATTGTTTCTCAATCTTCAACCAAAGCAGAATATCGTGCTATGACATCTACTACCAAAGAGATTGTTTGGTTACGTTGATTACTTGCAGATATGGGAGTTTCTCTTTCTCATCCCACTCCTATGTATTGTGACAACCGGAATTCTATTCAGATTGCTCACAATTTGGTTTTTCATGAACGAACTAAGCACATTGAGATCGATTGTTACCTTACTCGTCATCATCTCAAGTATGACACCATTATTTTGCCCTTTGTTTTTTCTTTTTTGCAAATTGCAGATTTCTTTATCAAGTCGCATTCTATTTCCCGTTTTCGTTTTCTAGTTGGCAAACTCTCGATGCTTGTCGTTGCTGCATCGTGAGTTTGAAGGGAGATGTTAAGAAATATAGGGTTATTTTGTTTATTAAGGGTAGAATAGTCCTTTACTTTTCCTGTCTTATTTAGCTTATATATAGTCTCTTTGTATTTAGATTAAATTACTTCCTAGTATTTAATTAAATTATGCAGTATCAATAAAACCCTAACATTTTCTTTTCTTATCTCTTGTATTTCTTTAGATTGTTCAACAATAAGTACTATCGAACCGGATTCAAGTTGATCTATTTATTTAATAAATTGATACATTACAATTAGGACAGTCAATAGATCATGATATGTTGTGTTTAATCAGGTTCCTATCGATCCATTTATTAAAGAGGTCTAACGGGTTTATCAGCCTACTTACGTTCTTCTCTCTATCAGTGCCGGTTGTCATGTTCATAGCCAATGCTGCAGCCATGCAATGGCTCCACCTCAATTGGTCCTTTCTCTTCGCATGAAAATGACACTATTGTTGATTATTCGCATTCAACACTCAACTTGCAAGTGTCGTGTTTCACTTGCACTTTACATGCTTATTACGTTTAAAAAGGCTCCCCTCTTCCATTCTCCTGGCAGTGCATGCATGAAGAGAGGAAGACCACAACACGACATCTCGTTGTTGATGGAAGACCCGCTTAGTATATAATAATTCAAAGCGATGATATATTACTGAAAATAAATTTAAAAAAAAAACTACTGAAAATGGTTACACCATATTTATTTCCCCTACTGTCTCATGAACTACTTGATGTGTGCAAGATCAATGATGGTCTCCCCCCGGGGTTTGAGTCTAAATTATCCTTACTATTATATAATATAATTATATGTGATTTTGAATTCTTAAAATGATAATAATCCCATAAAGGGCAATATGATTATACAATCCATGATTTTCAAAAATCGAAATGGTTGTGACAACCTACGCCGGTCAATCATGTCGGTTGTAATATTTAGCAACAAAAAAAAAATTATGTCGGGTGTGATGAGTTCGTATCAAGAAGCATTTTACACATACCTGATTCATTTACTAATTTGTATCTAACTAATCGTTTCAAGTTTGTGTCATGAATAAATTGTATATAACTGATATATAAACGAATCGTGACGTATATTTCTTATGAATAACTTTATTCAAATGCAATTCATTTATTAATCATGTTATGTCGAATTCATTCGTTCACGAAGTAAATGATTTAAAAAAAACTCACATTTTCTTAGTGTTATGGTAACGAACCGTATCATATTTTAACACCTCCGTCTTAGGCTTTAAAAATAATATTTAACAATAAAATTTGGTGTTCTCAACTTTTCACGACTTAACCCTTGAAAGTTGAAAGTACTAAAAATTCAAGGGTATAACATATGCTAAAAAAATATTATTAAAATAATTGAAAAAACAAATCCGTATCTTAAGTGAAAGATTAAGAGTAATTAACAGCTGATTAATAGAAACGAAAGATAAACATACCTTCATGATACCAACGATGGTCCCACCATACCCCGGGAAATTCTGAACGGCGGTTACAACGTTAGCCGTGTTGAAGAAAGTCTGAGCATGAGCGGCGACGAACATGAAGAAGCACATGACTAGCACGTGCGGGCGGTGAATGACTCCGGTGATGGCGAGCCACACAAAGAAGTAGCCCACGAAGCACTGGATTGCCCCCGCCAAGTGAACCACCCATGGGCCACCACAAATTGAGCGGCGGCGATTCGCTGCAACTGCGTAATATAGGAGGCCCGATAGAACTCCGGCGTTGGCTCCGATGTCTTTGAAGACCGACACCATGTCCAGAGTCGATTGGTCGTAGCCTTGGGTGGACTTTAGAACCGGTGAGTATATGCCGAAGGCGTAAGAAGCTCCGCAGCTACACTGGATCCAAATGCTCGCTACCGTAGCTATCCATTTGTTGCTCTCCATTTCCTTCATTCAAAACACAGAGTCATACACATTCGCTTTTGTATAAGATTTTCAGTTATTCTTTTCCTTTTCTCGGGGAAGTATTGAGCGAGTACGTGAGCTGGGTCCGAATGCGTGGAGGGACCCCTCTGTTGAGTGCCGGAGGAGGAGGAGGCCCACCGGTGATGGAGGTTGGCCACCAATCACTTTCGTAGGAAACCGCTTTGTTTAAGTAAAGGTGGAGGGTTCAGATCAAAAAAAGTAACGGTGGAGGGTGGCATTAATCATTGAGATTTAAAGATTGGGTTTAGGTCACCTAAAACTTTTTTTTTATATTGTTTTTGACGATTATATATCATTAACTAGAGTTGGCCCATGTACGGAAACTGCACACATCACATTTCCCCTAAAAAGTTGGATACAAAATTATTTAAAAAAAATTAAGATAATAAAATAATTATGTAAAATTGTCGTGGTGAAACTATATTTCTAAAAAAAATTAAATTAGTTATCCATTTTTAAAAAAAAAATTAAAAGAGTAATAGTTAATTAGTGGGATAGATAGGTAATTAAATGAGACACGTGTCAGAACATAATTAGTTAAATAATAATTAAATAATTAAAAATTCTAAGTAAAAATGGACGAGTGAGAAGATTTCTCGAGCCACCTCCCACCTAATTTGATTGTATATATATATACACTACTACTGTTGTTGTTTTTGTTATTGTTGTTGTTATTACTATTACTAGACGGAGAGAGGCATGACCCACCCTCAATTTTTTTTTTTATTAATTAGGTATATATATTATATATTTGTATAATATATTATTTGTGTTCATCCAAAACCCAAGATAAAAATATTAGGCTTACATTATTTATTCAAAAGAATTAAAAAATTAAGTCTATTTAAAACAAAAAAATTTGAACCCATCACTATCTACCCAAACTTATTGAAAAATCAAATCTTTGACCTATCACAATCCACTCATACCTATTAAAAAAATACAGATAATTGGTTGTGAGTACTTTTTGTAGAACTTATTTGACTTTAAGTACTAGCTTTAAACTTATACTTCATTAAGTTCTCTTTTTCGTTAAATAGTTATTAATAAGTATACATTTTAAAATTCTTTTTAATATGTATTACTGTTTTATATTACTATTTTTTTGTTGAGTGTGATATTGTTCTCAACATAAAAATAGTAACATCAAATAATAACACGTTCAACAAAAAAATAGTAATATTAAACAGTAACACATTCAATATAAAAATAATAACATCAAACAGTAACACGCTCAATAAAAAAATATTAATATTAAACAATAACACACTCAACAAAAAAATAGTAATATTAAACAGTAACACACTCAACAATATATATATTGATAAGAACAAAGTTTTAATGCTAGCACAATTTTCAAGATATTAGTTGTTAATGCTAATATAATTTTCAATTTATGAGTTGTTAGTTTTTTCAAACAAGTTTTGACTAAATATAATTATTGAGGGTATTTTGGACCATGTAGATTAAAATAGATTTATCCCTAAATAATTTTTTTAAGTGTACTTAAGCCCAAATAAGTCTACAAAAAGGGATCAGCCTCCCTAAGCCCCCCAAAAAATAAAAATTTTGGTCCAACATTAAAAATAAAATTTTGATCCACTTGACTGACATCACTAACTAAGATTCTTATTAGTTATCTTTCCTTTTTATTTCTTTCTATCTCATTCACTCCTAGCCACCTAGCTAGAAGAAAGCTCCTTCCTTGGTTGCAAACTTTTTTTTGTCGTTCCTTGCACAATTGTATTGACACACGGCCACCACTGACAAAACACAAAAATAAATATATTCTCTCTCTCTCTCTCAACACACGCGCACACTACACTGTGCACACAACACACATACAAAAATAAATTATTTTTTTTTAAATTTTGAATTAATTAGTTTTGAAAATTTTATGATTTTTTGTGGATCTTAATTTTTAACCCTAATTTATATTTCTATTCATTTTGCCCTTATTCGAAATTTTAACCGTAATTTATATTTTTGTGCATTTTGCCCTTATTTGAATTTTTTATGCATGTTGCCCTAATTATTTTCTTGATTTGTTATAACTCGGATTAGTAATTATGGATGCCTTGAAAACCTTGAGTTGTGGTTATTGAGTCGACTTTTTTGGTAACTCTCAATTCGAACCTATTTTTAATACTTTGAATGATATTACTTGAATTTATTAAAATTATGAATTGGATACTTTTATGCATTTGTACGTGTATTTGCTTTCTAATACAATATATTCTTTAGAATGGTAGCGATAAAATTGACAAAATAATTTGTTTAATTAATTGTAAAAGTGGACATATAAACTCATTTTCTTGAATAATTTTTTAAAACAATCATGAAAAAGTACTTCAAGAGAAAGTCTGAGTCAAAGTTATCATCTCCTCCAAACAAAGGTGGTGATTCTTCAAAGAAAAGTCACATAGATATTAATTTGGAGAATCTTCCATCAGATCCCGGACTACAACCACGGACCATGGATTATAATCCTAATTAATGATCGAGTCCAAATTTGTAGCATCTACAAAAAGATACTTGCCAACCCCGCGACCATAAGTTTCCATAAAAAAGATTTGGTGTTAAACTACAACTGTTTAACAAAACTTGATTTTCTCAGTTTGGTAACTGGCTTGAGTATAGTGTAGCAAAAAATGCAACATTTTACTTGTGTTGTTGTCTTTTTAAATCAGATATGGGTAAACAATCGAGTGGCAAAAGCTTTGTTAGCTTGGGCTTTTCAAATTGGAATAAAATAGAGAAGTTCCAAATGCATGTTGGAGGCGTTAATAGTTATCATAACCAAGCTTAGAGAAAATCTCAAGATTTATTAAATCTAAAGCAAAGTATTGAAGTTATTTTCTTCAAATAGTTAGATCAAGCTTGAAATGAGTATAAAATCCGGTTGAATGTATCCATTGATTGTATTCGATTTCTTCTAAGGCAAGGGCTTGTATTTCGTGGTCACAATGAATCTGAGAATTCAAGTAATCAAGGAAATTTTCTTGAGCTTTTTAGATTTCTTGCTGATCACAATGAGGATATTAAAACTGTTTTGTTGAAAAATGCGCCTAAGAATCTCAAGTTGATTTCGCTTGAAATTCAAAAAGAAATTGTAAATGCAGCTTCTGTTGAAACGTGTAATGCTATTGTGATCCGCCTTAGTGATGCACTTTTTTCTGTTCTTATTGATGAATCACGTGACATATCAACAAAGGAGCAAATTGTTGTTGTGTTGAGATTTGTGGATAAGAAGGGACATGTAGTTGAACACCTTTTAGATTTTAAACATGTTACTAATACTAGTGCTCCTTCACTTAAGACAGTTGTAGAAGATTTATTTGTTAAACATGAGTTGAGCTTGTCAAGATTACACGGGCAAGGTTACGATGAGGCTAGTAATATGCGAGATGAGTTCAATGGTCTCAAAACACTTATAATGAAGGAGAATGAATATGCATATTATGTCCATTATTTTTTGCATCAATTGCAATTAGCTTTTGTGGCTGTTGCAATTAATCATATTCAAATCACAACTCTTTTCAACTTGGTTGCTAATATTGTCAATGTTGTGGGAGCCTCATGTAAACGACGAGATATTTTTGGGGAGAAAAGAAGTGACTAGAGTTATTGAATTACTTGATAATGAAGAACTTTCAAGTGGGCGAACCCTAAATCAGGAAACTAATCTTACACGTGCTTGTGATACACGTTGCGATTCACATTATTATTCTTTGATCAACTTGACTGATATGTTCTCATCAGTGATTGATGTGCTTGATATAGTTTCAAAAGATGGTATAAATGCAGAACAAAGAGGGGAGACAAATATTCTTTTGAACTTGCTACAATCTTCATTTGATGAGAAGTATATTAGGAATCACAAATGAGTTATCGCAGACATCACAAAAGAAAGATCAAGGTATCATGAATGTCATGACATTAGTTCAAGAATCTAAGCAACGACTTCAAACGATGAAGAAAATTGGTTGGAGTTATTTTCTTGATGATGTCACATCTTTTTGTGAAAAACATGAGATAGTTGTTTCAGAGATGAACGATATCTTTAAAGCTCGAGAGAGGTCAAGACGTACTCAAGAAAAGATAAATTTGCATCACTATCAAGTTGAATTATTTTATACAGTCATAGATATGCAACTTTAAAAGCTAAATAGTCGTTTTACCGAGTCAAACACTAATTTACTTCTTTGTGTGGCATGTGTTAGTCCTTTTGATTCCTTATTAGCTTTTGACAAGGAAAAAATTGATTCGTCTTGTCCAATTTTATCTAAAAAAATTTTCTTCACTAGAGTTGATGATATTTTCTGATCAGCTGGATAGTTTTATTATTGATATGCGCTCTAGTATTGAGTTTTCAAGATTGTTAGGCATTGGAAATCTTGCTCAGAAAATTGTTGAGATAAAAAAATACGTGGTATATCTATTTTTCTACTTAATTGTGACATTGACATTGATCTTGCCAGTTGTGACTGCCATAATAGAGAGAATATTTTTGGCTATGAAAATTGTGAAGAATTGATTACGTAATCGAATGGATGATCAATGGATGACAAATAACTTGATTGTATACATAGAGAAAGACATTTTCGATTGCACTGATAATGATGTTATCATGCAACGCTTTCAAAATATGAAATCATGTCGTGGTCAATTGTAAAAGACAGTTAGTCTCATTTTTTTGTAAAGGGATCTAATTAAATCCTTATTTTGTAGATTTTTTATGTTTTTGTACCCTATATATATCGATTTTTGGCTCTTTTGTCAATGAAATTTTAGGTATTATAAATGATTTAAAAAATTTATTTGTCTTTAACTTTAATCCTTAAGAAGACAAATTTTTAAACTTATAATTAGTACCCCTCACATATAAATTCCTGACTCCGCCCCAGAGTACTACAACTACTACTAATAAAAATACTGTAGTATTAAATTTTTTTGATTCACTAGTTTACCCTTATAAAAAATTATAAAGGCTAACATGTCCTTTTATATTTAAATATA